ACACTTTCAGCAGAGGCGCACGACGAGATGTCGGTCGTGGACGAGATAGAGAAGACCAAGCGCGTGCAGCCACCATACTTGAGTTGACGAGATTCCTCAAACTTATTCGGGTAATAACTCATTTATCTGGAAAAATAAATTTTCGTAAGAAGGGAAGTTGTTGGATCTTGAAGGAGCAATGAGGGTTGATGGAAGGAGATAGGAGTATCCGGACAGGAGAATCTTATTTACAGCAACTGCATTGCAGTAAATGCAATGTTGCAGAAATTTTTCTTCTACCCTATCTTTTGCTTTTGGATTAAGCCTCGTTTTAGTCCTCTTTACTTCCTTAGAAATTCTAGCTTGTGATTTGAATTTTTCTCTAGCTTTATGAACTTTAAGCGAAATTCTTTATGGTGTTGCTTATAATTGGAATCAGAAATATTTGGCAGTCATTCAATGTTTTCACTGAATGTTCTATGCTACTATGATTTTTTAAGGAATAGACTTTGATAACATTGTATTAAGGTACAATTTTTAAAATCAGTGCTCTGTTATAAATTCGTTGTTATCATCAAGCAAAACTTTTTATTGTTTTAGTGTGTTGATGATTTGGATTCTATGTGTTCAAGTTTTTTTTTCAGAATGAGTCGTTGCTCTCATTTTTGATCACCTATTTTGGTTATCTATTCAACCGTTACCTACTTGCAAAGAAGAGACCGCATCTCCGAATGACTTTACCATTAGGAGAGATATTTGGGCACGAATCTGAGTAAGTCCCTTACTTAAACATATGAACATAATAAGACAAGCAAAATCTTTCCAAAAAAGAGGTACAAAATATTTCACTTTATGTCTAGTGGATGATTGGGCAAATAATTTATAAAATACAAAAATCTTATATATGAACTAATCATATTTCTACATTACTTCTGTGCTTCTACATTCTGTTTTATGTTCTATTCTCTTACTTTCAAGAAATTCTATCAAAGCAAATATCTGCTTCCAGACTAAGCCATGTAAATATCCTCGCTGTCCAAGAACTGATGGAGATTTTCTTTCACAATGGTTTTCTTGTTAATCCGACAAATCCACATTGGCTGCGATCCGCCGCTGATTTTCGATATGGTACGCGCTAGTGTACTAGTTTTTTTTTGAAACAAATCTTAGAGAAAATTGCGCTATACTTCTTTTTGTTGTAGGAAGAGGCTTATTGGGTGAAGCTGGAGTCTTATACATGGAGTATCTGGTAGCATCAAGAACTCCGTTGTTATTGGCGCCACATGAAAGTTTGGTGGAGGACTTGGTAAGTTTATCATTTTTGAATGCGGTTTAATGTAGGTACAGCTTTGTCGATAAAAGTTTAATTAGAGGTATTCAAATTGATTTTGTAAAAATATTAGAGGTAAAAATTGATTTTGAACGATTTTACATCTCTTTGTACGCCTGTTTACTAACTCACCACTTATTTACTCATTTATTGATTTGTTCTTTGAAAAAGGAGGGTTCTCTTAATACAATATTGATCTTCCAGGTGTGGCGACGTTTGCGAGTTTGTCTATCAAAGTCACATTGGTTCACTTTAGCTGCATTAGTATGTCAGAACATCGAGCACAAGAGAGAGGATGACTACATGAAAGCTATGGAGGTAACACTTATCTGTATTAGCTCATAATTATTGATTGGTGGATATCGCAAGTCTACAAAACTCAGTGTTTATTAGACGCTTATTGAGGAATAGACTTTTACTATTTTAAAGC